AGAGAGAGAGAGAGAGAGAGAGAGAGAGAAAGGGAGAGAGAGAGAGAGATACATATAGATAAGATAAATAGATGGATAGAGGGAATTGGGTAGGGAAAAGAAACTCAAGCACATAAACGCATACATGCAAACATATCCACACGTAACATAATAATATAGACAAATAAACACAGACACCCACTCACCGTTCCACTCATCTGTAAACCACGTCAAGATCTGAGCTGTACCCTCAGCCTCCATACTATGAGGTCCTATACTGGACTGGTCTGATTTACTCTGGAACGTTTTATATAAATACATTAAATTTTGCTGTAGATCAGTGTTATCTCACATTGGAGGGGAATGTTGGAAATTATTCTTAGACTGACTGTGACCAAGGAACTGCAAATATGATAATATATTATTTTGATTTACTCGGAAAAGTTTTTGTTTTCGCTTTAAAGATTATATTTGCAGCAGGTTTCGTTCAATTTTACATCACCTTAAAAGTAAACAGTTGCGAATGATTATTATTTTCAATAATATGATTCTGACCAAAGGATTGTACATAAAAAGAGGGGGTTTGATGTGTGGAGGAGGGGGTGTAGGGGGTGAGTACATTCCATGTCTTAAAATAATTGGGGGGGGGGGAGGTAGGGTGGAGAGAGTGAAATCTATTGATTATAATAGAACATTTTGAACATACATGCAGTATAGGAGACTTCCTACACTTTGAAAAATCTTCTTTTCAATTTTTTTTCTTTAAATTATTTTCTTATTCACTGTGCAGGTGTGTAATTCACTCACTTTACGTTTAGAACCTCGACATTCAAACGACGACCGACTAGAGTGCAGGGATTTGTATCCACGTGTTTCAGGTTTTCGTGCGGCAGTCATGGCGTCCTGTTTACTCTGCTCATCCTGCACATGACGTCTTACGGGCATCTCAACAAACCTGGGTTTTAAAAAAAAGTAGGTGCATGGGTTTAACGCCCCTATCAATAGTATTAGGTGATCTAGGAGGAGGGGACCTCCGAATCTGTCTCTGATAGGACCGAGCCAAATGGGTTAAGAGCTTTGAAATCTCCACAAAACATCCCGATTTCAAGAAAGTCCAATCTGGGATTTGAACCTAGGCCACGCGCCTTGTAGTTCAGCATGATACCCGCTGATGTAAACGAGCATCTCCACAAACTTAGGTGAGTACACCATGACAACATTCTTTTATTTACTCAATGAAGACATGCACACAATAAGACTGCCTAACAGACAGATAAATAGATGGATGGATAGATGGATGGATGGATGGATGGATGGATGGATGGATGGATGGATGGATGGATGGATTCGAGTTACCGATTTTGGGACGGGTCCATGAAAATCACATAGTTAATTGCTCAATTCATTCGTAAGTGGGGTTTTTTTTTTCAAAATTCAAAATAAATGCCATAAGAGATCATATAAAGAACACACAAAGAGACTGTCGTTTCCTCATGTCAGTGAGATTAATTGTAAATAACCTTGCAGTTTTACGCCCCAATCGATGCTGCATAAGTCACTCAGGAGGAGAAATACTCGAACCTTGCCCGTCAGGCACACCCCAAGCATCCCAATTGACAGGCAAAAAGAAACAAGATAAAAGTACTCAGAAACTGAACTCACATAATATACTGCGCGCAACAACAAAAAGCCTGACAATAACACCCCAGACACTGCGGTGATGAGAGAGTGAATAGAAGCCCTACCCGGAAAAAGTAAACTTCAGTCCTCCATTCAGAACGCATCTAATCTAGTGCATATTATATCAATGGCCTCCACTCTCCTTGGAGCCTCAAATTGGTCACCGTGGCGTCATTCCTGGGGAAGACGCTTTTATCTGTAAAATTTAAAAAAATGGGGGGGCGGTTCCGAAATCCACCTACCTGGAGACAGCGTCTTGTATGACCGACTTTTCGCCTTCCTCCTTTCCGTTACTTATCCACCTATCTTTGTCCTTGGTATACGCGTCTTTGTGACCTTGGACTTCTTTCCGGTGGTTGAGACGATCTTGGCTAGTCCAAGAACCAATGGCATTTTGTAGGCTTCAAAAAAAAGAAAGAAAACAAAAGTCAGATAAATTTGAACAGGGGGACCACAAGACAGGATTCAAAATCAGAAAAGCTTTTTTTTTTTCAGCGAGTTCCTTTTGTCTTATGCTGACTCGAATTTACTGTCGTTCGAAACCGTAAGGTTACCCCCCCACACCCGAAAAAAAATAAAAATAAAAAAAATAGACAGGGCTAAGGATACCCAGCCAGTGTGTGTATAGCTTTGAAAACACCCCAAAACAAATCGAGTTTAGAATGTCCCGTTGGCGATTCATCCGAGTGTGTGCGCATCCAATCACAAAATCCAATTGGTCTATCTGTTCTGTTGTCATGCATGCAATTCAAAAAGATTTCCAAGCTTGAAGTTTTCTTTTTTTTTCAGGATGGTGCACAATTGTTATGAAGAAGGTTCCCAGGATAAGACAACTTGAATACCGGTATAATGAAAACTTTTGGACGACAAAGATAAAAGTTCTATTCTAACCTGCCCCTGGTAATAAACAAAAATATAAAGATGCGTGACACAACTCTGAGCACTGTTGATAACGTCAAATAAATATATTAGCAGGGCACGATTCTCAAATTGCTGATATCGGTGAAGAAATAGTTGTATGTATTGCATCCTTTAGAAGACTCAGAGCAAGGGTATGAGACTGCTGGGAAATTTGCTCAGAGACAAAGAAATCACTTTGAGCTGAGAGTTCTAGCATCTGCAAGAGATCTTGTATGTTGGGGG